CAATCTTTTTTTTATTTTTTTTTGAGGGGCAATTATAATTCAATAGAATACTTATTGTTGTGTCCTGCTGGAACAGGCAAGTAAAGCTCTTATCCATTTAGCTTTTTCTGACATGATCATTTCATTAAAAGAACAATGAATCGATACTATAGTCATTTAACTGAAACTTTGCCTGAATTACTTTAATGCGGAACATCACACTGATGCCAGACTGAACAGAGAACCGCAACTTAAAAAAATTGTAACAGAAAAATAATCCCACAAGCAATACAATACAATATTTCAACTTTTAGAGGAACCACTTAAAACAGTTTTATTCAATTAGAGCTACAAGTCCAAACACATTTACTAGTTTTGATTTTTATTTTTTTAATAATTGAAACTTTGGTTTTCATGCTAAAAGTTCATAATAAAACATATAATCTAGTATTTTTCAATAAAAAATTATAACATAATGTTATCCTCTAAAAAGTATAATATATATATATTATCCTCTAAAATATAATATTATCTTTTTTTTCGCCTTTTTTTATTACATCACATATTTTAGTAGTTATAATAAATTAGGTATCATTTGAAAGCTTACAAACTCAGAATTCATCCTGTGAAAACCGTTTTGAAATTGAACGTTGCGTTACCATAGAAACGGTACTCTAAATTATTTTATCAGGCTCCTCCCCTTTTGGGCATCATTATATTTCATAATTTATGATCAAAACCTTTTCTAATCCTGACAAAACACATATTGTCAGAAAGGTCTTAGTCTCAAGGTTCCAAATTTTGTGACAGAATTGATATTTGGACAGAAATGTATTAATTTGTTATGGCAGAATGTATACAACTAAATTCAATGGAATGTATGTCACCCGGTGGCTATTTCTGGTACTACGCCTAAACAAAATCTCATGGGAACTTCAATTTTTGTGAAATCAACTTCAAATTTGGAACACAACTTGGTTAGATATATGGCTTTGATTTTATAGTAATTTTATAGTGAAAAATATTTTGTAAAATGTATATTTTTTATAAAATAAAAAATATATAGTACAGTATATTTGATTTACTGTAAATTTAAACTTCCATAACTTTTTCATACTTTCATTTTTTGAAGTGACTGCTGAGTGTTTCCTTTAAAACAAGACCAAACTTGGGTCTATATATTCCAAAGCATTCTTGAATTACAACCATTTAAGTTTGAATGGTGCATTTTAACCCCCATTCTCAAAAAGGGGGGTGACAGCGAAGGGGTTCTTCATTTGGTACTTATCCGCAATGTATTAGGCTATGTTGCGCATTAAAGGGATACTTCACCAAAAATGAAAAATTCTGTCATCATTTACTCACACTCTTGTTGTTCCAAACCTGTATGACTTTCTTTCTTCTGCGAAACACAAAATATATTTTGAAGAATGTTGGTGACAGTTTTGGTGACCATTGACTATTGTGTGTGTGTAAGTTTGGAAGCATTACTATTTTTGATGTTTTTGAAAAGTCTCTGATGCTCATCAAGCCTGCATTTATTTGATCAAGTATACAGAAAAAAACATTAATATTGTGACATATTATTTTTCATTTAAAATAATGGTTTTCTATTGTAATATACTTTAAAGTATAATTTATTTCTGTGAAGACTGGAGTAATGGCTGATGAAAATTCAGGTTTGCATCGGTGTCACATGATCCTTCAGAAATCATAACATGCTGATTTGATACTCAGTTATTATCAATGTTGGAAACAGTTGTGCTGCTTAACATCTTTTTTTCAGGATTCTATGATGAATAAAAACATAAAAAGAACAGCATTTATTTAAAATAGAAATATTTTGTAACAATATACACTACCATTCAAAAGATTGAGGTCAGTAATTTTTTCCTTCTTTTTTTGAAAGAAATTATTTTTATTTAGCAAGGAGGTATTAAATTGATATTAAAGTAATAGTAAAGATTTGTATTGTAAGAAAATATTTCTATTTTGAATAAATGCTGTACTTTTTAACTTTTTATTCATCAATGTATCCTGAATAAAATAAATACAATTTTTTAAAAAGAGTATCAAATCAGCATATTAGTATGATTTCTTGCATCACAGAAATACATTATATTTTAAATTATATTAAAGTAGAAAACCATTATTTGTAATTGTAATCATATTTCACAATATTGTTTTTATCAAATAAATGGAGGATTGATGAGCATAGGAGTCTTTCAAAAACATAAAAAATAGTGTTGTTTCCAAAATATTGACAGATACTGTTTAATATTTTATGTTTCACAGAAGAAAGTCATACAGGTTTGGAACGCATGAGAGTAAGTAAATGATGACAGAATTTTCATTTTTCGGAGAACCATTTCTTTAATATACACAGTTATACTGCACAATGTTGTCTTCTTTCTTCTTTTGCACTTAAGTGTTAAAGATTTGAAGTGGTTTCTCGTTTACACTGGTATTCTGAGGGGTGCATTTTTGCCCTCTTACACACAGAGACGACTATTAATAGTGTCTGTGTCATCAGCACAACCCCGGCATCAGCAGAGCCACATGAGCACCACCCAGCCACCCAGCCCAGGCCTGACATCACACTGACCACTTCCCTTTAGATATGACAATGAAACCAGCTCGGCACGAAAAGTTCCTGAGCAGGCAAACACGCACACACTGAGAATCTTATGAAAAACTGCTGATATGAAAATGGAGAGGAAACATTTGTTACTTTTTGCCTTCATTTATCACGTGTGTGTATATAACAAAGTACTAGGATCCTTTCACATAACACAAGCATAATAAGAATTTCACATAATACACTATATATATATATATATATATACTTTCTATTTATGGTTTTAATTTTTTCTTAAACAAATCAGCATATTAGAATGATTTCTGAAGGATCATGTGACACTGAAGACTGAAGTAATGATGCTTTACCATCAGAGGAATAAATTAGGTGTCCAAATAGAACTCATTTTAATTTGTAATATTTTATATTATAATGTTTTTACTGTATTTTTGATCAAATAAATGCAGCCTTGGTGTATGTATGTGTGCATGTATGCATTATATATATCCAAATAAGATTTTGGATGAAACATCGGCTAAAAAAGAAGGTCATGAATGAAATCATCCACACTTTTGGCCTCCACAGTTATTCATAAACCCACATGCGGCGCACAACATGCCAATGAAGAAAGATAAGACGCAGCCATAAAACACACATAGTGTGACAATCACCTGCTTTGTAATTCAAACAGTTCTGATCTTGTAAATGTGACTAACAAACATGCAAATGTCTGGTTTTTGGTATAACAGCGAGTCTCAACAAGTTGGACCACAACAGTAGCTGCTTTATCCCTCAGGATTGGTTACAGTATCTGCTCCTATGCCGTTAGTACAGTATTTCTCACTTCAAAACTTCAGCTAAAACAACCGTCAGTATGTCAGCAGTCAAGCTCATTTCCGGCACTGTGAGCGGCTGATGTGGCCCTTGTGGCTTCGACTGATTTGAATACCGTCGAGCGTGAGAGAAGAAACAGCCTAGCGGTTTAACAATCATTCAAGATGGCGTGCAAAGCAACAAGTGAGCACGGCACTTGTTATTAACAGCTGTGTCAGCAAGAGCAGCATTTGTGGCGTCGAGCGCCGACCGCCCATTACTCTTCTCTGTGTGCAATAGTTTAGCAGCTGTGCGGCCTTTAGAGAGTTAGCGGGAGACATCCTGTTTTTACAGTGGGATTTGCTGGGGGGTGTGTAGAGCTGACCTGTTTCCAAACGCCACTTCAAAACAGCTTATTTTGGGAGATTAGCTACATTGTAAATATAACAAAATATTTGCGATAAGACGTTAAAGGAAGATCCAAGTGTGCCACACTGTATACATTAAATCACTCACTGAAAGTTTGAGTTTCACATGTGTTCCCTTTAGAAAGGTGTCTGGATTCCTGTGTGCAAAAGCACATGATGAGGTCAAACATTAAACCCAACACACATTCTTTACAATCTTATCTGCTGTGGATTCCAAAGTGCTTGGATTCCCAGGTTTGGAAAATTTTGTGCAAATATATATATGGGCCTCAAACTCCGGGAAAGCAAACAGAAAAGATTTTCCATGTGCACTACCTAGAACAAAACGAAAAAGAATTTTCTAGCAATGCTTAACACACTTTCCATCTGACTTTGGTTTGGCTTCGGTAAATGACAGTGGAAACTCCCATGCATTGATAGGCATCAAAGACAGCATGAATTGGTCAGAACAAGAAGGAACTAAAAGCATTAAAATGACTAAGTTTAATTTGAAGTTACAATTACATAGCTGTTTCTGTACATGTTTCTCAAAATGATTAAAGCAAAGAGAGGAAATGAATAGAATGAAACATTTCTCTCCAAAATCAAAACTTCAGTCCACTCTACCGCAAGCAAGCACTACACTTGAAATGCAAGAATGTAACAATCCCACATTTTAGAGACATATGAGTGTAAGTCAAAGACAATCTGGTCAATGCAATTAGCCTTAATGGTGTTAGGGCTACAAAAGGAAACCCTCGATGTTTAAAAAAATGAAGTATCTTTAACATTGAACTTGTTTTGGGCTACACTGCAATGCAGACAAAAAAACTTTCAGTGGATTTTCAAGCTTTCGAGAGCACAAGACATCCCCGTTTCGATTATGCTGTTTGAATATAAGTTATGTCTGTGGTAGTAAGCCCGCCTTCCACAATTAGACTCTTGCATAAAATGTTCCATGGATTCATTTACATGTAGATTATCATTGGATGTCAGTGATATCATAACTATGGCACGGTTTAAAACCTGTTACACCACATTAGCTACCTACGATTAGTATGCTACAACCTCCTCAGCAAAACTGTGCTTTGCTACAGTGGATGCCTGGACAGTTTCGATACTTGGTATAAAATGCCTTTAACACACTATTGGACTGTTTGCTTGACTCTGAAATCTCAAAGAAAGAAGCTGTAGAAGAGACAACAAATATAGAAAACCTACAATCAAACAAAAAAATAGATAATCTTCATTCAGGAATGCTTTATCATGTTAAGCAGTAGTCCGAGGTGTGTGACACGGCTGTGTCACAGTAGACAGGAAACTAAAAGCAAGCCAAACCCATTACGTTATTTCAAAAAAAGGGTCATTTGAAAACTAACCAAAAATAAATGTTAACTCTAAATCAAAACAGCACAAATATTGGGTGAGGTCATCTGATTTTCCCCATATTGAGTTCATTTGTCCTAAACAGTCAGTGCCAGTATCATTAAGACTTGTAGTTAGATGTTAACCAAGTTAAGCCTTCGTACAGTCCATCTCCGGTGGTCGCACATGAGGGCTGCACGTACCAATTCCTATCTCGGATGCGTGTCAGTCCCAGCTTCTCCTGGATCTCGTGCGGCTTCATGGCGTCCGGCAGGTCTTGCTTGTTGGCGAAAATCAAAATGATGGCGTCCCGCATCTCGCGGTCGTTGATGATGCGGTGGAGTTCCTGCCTGGCCTCGTCTATGCGATCTCTATCTGCACAATCCACCACAAAAATTAACCCCTGCGTGCCCGTGTAGTAATGTCGCCAGAGGGGACGGATTTTATCTTGTCCGCCCACATCCCACACGTTGAACTTGACGTTTTTGTAGGTGACCGTCTCCACGTTGAATCCGACAGTTGGGATGGTGGTCACGGACTGGCCGAGTTTCAACTTATAAAGGATGGTGGTTTTCCCTGCGGCATCCAGACCGAGCATCAATATTCTCATCTCCTTGTTGCCAAATATCTTTGACAGCATCTTCCCCATTTTGCAAACTGTTCATAAATGGTTACTTCCCTCCAAAAAAAAGAAAAAAAAAGAGTTTTATATGGGTATGTCAAAAGGAAAATAAATGGGCTTTTTTTTTTTAAAGATTTCTTGTTGGGAATGTCAAATTTAGAAGTGAACAGAACACGTGTATAAAGTTATCACGCTGCTGGGCATAAAGTCAGTGTTAATAAAATGTATTTCCAGCCGATACGGGCCACTGTTCAGCTGATTAAATGACAGTACTGAAAACTTTCAGTACTAGACGAAAAGGTCAAAGCTCGATTTGCAGCGCTGTTGCTTCGGTTGTAGGGAGGTGCCCGTTTGAAAAATGCCACACTCACTATTAATCCACAGAGATGCGACAAAAGCAGCGATTTTTCGATGATTTTTCCGTGGCTTTAAGTGCTGAGGCCTCTTTAAGAGCCTGCGGTCTTTCAAGACTTCCTCTTGGCGTGTGAATGTCCGTCTCGGGGGCTCTCTCACGTCCGTCCCCCAAAAATGTAACCGGATAGCAGCTGAAGACGTTCAGAGCCTCGGCGGAAAAGCGATCATTTGGCCGGCCGGTAGGTCTGTCATCTGGACCGTCTGAAGCGGAGCCGCATCGATTTCAACCGTCCTGAATTCGACTGTCTCACGTGTCCCTGAGAGACAAGAGAGACTCAGAGGGAGTGCCAGAAAAGAGCAACTTAGCCTGCTAGCTTAGCCGTCCATACAACCCACACAAAATCGCCACCACAGACTTTTTACCCATATTTTCGACAGGATATGTAAAATATAACATTTAACAAGTTATTTTCATTCATTTTAGAGCGACTAAATGCGGTTTAGTTACCTGCGGAGGGCCACCATTCTCTAGCAGTCTCAACCCCGGTGTTCACTCCTAAAATCAGCCGAGTTCTGTGTGAAACTGACTACGTCAACGCAAACCAGCGGAAATGGCCGTTACAGCCCGTATTTCATAATAAAGGTCTTTGCAAACGTCAAAACCCCACATGTTCTTGTGTATTATCTCTTTTTTTGTACTGCATTGTAATTATGTAATAAAAAAAGACTTTACTCTAAAAAACCCATTTCAAAATACTCATAGGCTACAATATTCAGTATCACACAATCTAAGAAAACGTGTTACTTAGCAATAGCGACAGTAACCTATTAGTTATTACAATACAATCAACAATGACAACACTAACTGACAAATTTACTCTAAAAGTGAACTGAAAAAGATCTTAAGCGATACACCATAAAATATTTGTTATGAATTGTGATGAGAAAAAGTGGACTGTGCTTTTGAATGGCTTGACTTGTTAAAGCGACAACTCAAAAGTACAGTTCTGTCATCATTCACCCACCCTCATGTCATTTTAAAACTATACGGTGAACACAACATGAGATATTTTGAAAAATGTTGCTAGCCAAACCATTCTGGTGACCATTGACTTATTACAAACAAACAAACAAACAAGGCATCCACCTAGACTCATATAACTCATGAAGACTGAAGACAGTCACTTGTCACCATCTGCTGGTGTAACAAAGTAACCCACAGAAAGAGTCACATTTACCAATCCCCACATCTCTAGAAGAACAAACATGAAAATGAGAGTGATACAGTACAAACCGTAAAAAGCCCTAGTGCTGTTTGTCTGAAATTCAGCACTCTTGGAACTAATGACTGGAAGTAATGATTGGAACTAACACAATATAATAATATCTGAATAAAGGCCCATTCACACCAAGGATGATAACTATAACTATAATGAGCTGAGTCCACACTCCACACCACATCTTTAACGATAACAATGATATAGAAAGTCCGTTGGTCTGGACACTATTACAGTTATAGTAAGTTATCTTGTTCTTGGTGTGAACGGGCCTTAAAGCTGCTGTCCGTAACTTTTTTCAAGTTAAAAATAATCCAAAATAATTATTTAAAAAAAAAAACATATTCAGCCAGTGTTCAAAACTATCTGCTTGCCGTAGCTCGATTCAAAACGGTTAGCTTGTAATAATGATTTTGTTTCCAGTGGTACTGGTGGATTTCCGCGGGAAATTCGAGCATGTCTTTGCGTCATTACGTCACATCTGTACACATAAAGGAGGAGTTTCGGCTAGTCGGCTATACTGCGCGTGACGATGTTGACGGTGGGGAGAGTAGAGATGCCTTTTCTCGCAGCACTTTACATAATTGAACTTATGGCGGATCCAGAAAGATCCAAACGACAATCATCAGTGTCAACTGGAGATTCACCAGTTATAAAACCCAAAAGACTTTGTACTTCGGATTTAAAGTGGCTAGAGAAAGACAGCAACCGTCTCATGTGAACACAAGGATAAACATCAGCAGGGCTTTTGGTGCGTGAACTCTGTGTTTTGAAGGGGTTCAGAACGGAAGAAGAGACGCTTTTTTCTGCTGGACAAGTAAGACATTTCAATAGTTCAATCGTGTAACAGTACCAAAATTGTTTGCTTAATTCACACAGTTATGGAGTTTCCTTTGTTGTGCCTTTCTCGTTTAGCTATTATGGAGAATGAATTCTGAACTACAGGTAACCATAAAACACATTAAATGTAGTCACGCAAAGCTGATGTTGTTAACATTAACAATTTGAGAACAAAGTATAATTTGCACGGTTCGACATAAGCGATCGTTAGATTTAATCAGCGCGATTTACTGCAGTGCAATCAATGCATTTTCCCCGTAGTTGATCTGAACAAAAGTGAATGTTACTTACTTGTTCAGAGTAAATTTTCCGGTGAAAATTCTTATGTTGGTCATCCTGTACTTCCAAAAAGTACAATGTGTGATTCTGAATGCCAGTATCCACACCGGCGCTGTGACCGACAGCCGCGACGCGCACTCTCCTCACAACATTGTGTTCATCCGCGCTGTTTCATGCCGATGTACAACTCACGTAAAATTAATAATTCCGCGAATGACTGCAATCGCAGGCTTCAAACAGAGATGGCGACAAAGAGGAAAAGCTACGGACTGCAGCTTTAAGAAAGAGCAAAAGGTGGCTAATGCAAAATTACCCACAAAGTTCTGTTCTGGGACTGTCTACATTCTTACAACTTTCAAGGAGCCAAAAAAATTTGTTATGCATTGCTCTCTCATTGGTCCGAAAACACAGATTTGCATGATGTTTGCAACAAACAATTTTAATATAAATGTTATAAGCCAAATAAATAAATGTTATATTTACAGTGTGTATGTGGTGTGATGGAAATTTGAACTAATCATGAACTAACATTACTTTTTATTACAGGCCAAAATATTTAACCTTTGATTTCTCTTTACAGGTTAACATTTAACATTTGAAAATAATATCAGCAGTATTTTTTTAGCAAGTTTGCTGTTTCTGAAACTCTGAAGATACCTTGGCTAGACAGTTATTCTGAATTTAATAGTCCCATAATGAGTAATCAACGATGAACTAACAATGAACCACCAACCCCATGATTTTGTTGATTCAGATGATTCTAACATCTAAATATGCTTTGCCAACAGAGGGTGTGGGTTCATGCTGTTTTGCACAAATTGAACCAATCAAATACGAGAAAAATGATCACAAGTAGAACATCATGTTATTTTGCTGTGTTCTGTATTTCTATCCTTTATAAACTTTTGTATTTTTGATGAAGCTGGGATTCTCTCTGAAATGTGTCTGAGGTCCTCCGGCCGTGATTAAAGCAGGCATTGCCTGGAGTCTGTAATGCTGTGCAGCAGGTTAATATAACACTAGAGATCCTAATCACAAAGTGATAGTGTTCAAAAAGGTCGAGAGGTCACCGTCTTACAAGTGAGACTCTTAGGCGGGGTTCCAATGCGGTCAGGTAACTATAATTCTTAGGCATCATATGCGGTCAGAGTAGATACACTTAGGCGTCAACCAACGCGGTCAGAGTGGGAATAATATTGTGGGTGTCTGGGAAACCGGGTTTAACTTAAGTCAGGTGTGTAGGGGATTTTTTTTTTCACAGTGGTCAAGGCTAAAACATGTCAATTCATGAATGAACTTCAACTAAAATGACATGGGTGCTTCTCATTGCTTGGTAAGTCTAAGGATTGAGAAAACAAGTTATTAAACATTCTTTATTGTTATTACTGTTTTTTTTTTTTTTTCAAATTAATTTTTCTGATGACGATACGTTCATTTGTGTATCAGCCAGCATGTGCATCAGTGTTCAAAATCGATGCGCTGTCTCTTTAAGAAACTGTCGTTTGGTTTTGGGATATACGGTAGGCTACATTAGTGTGTCCGATATGGCGGAACGGAAACACACGACCACTGCTCGGTCTTCAACAAGTATGACCTCGCTGGCTCGAGCTCTTTCCCGCAGCAGGTTAAGTCAGCCTGATGTGTTTCAGTCGCAGAAATCTCTCAGCCGGAGTGCCACGGGTCAGAGCAGGAGGTTCTCCAGCAGCTCGGAGTCTCCTGATAACAGCCCAAATGTCGAGGCGAGGGTCCTGGTCATAAACACCGGCGGAACCATTGGCATGACGTATCATAATAACGGTAAACACTATCATCAGCAGCGCTCACACACCTGCCTGCATGAGGGTTCACATATGATATATTGCTCACCATGTAGTATTATTTTATGACACGTTTATGGGATTATTTGGTTGCTAATGTCAATAATAATATTTAAAAAAAAACAGTGATTAAAAGGGGGCAGTTTAAATTGTGGGTGTAAATATTAATGCATGGGTCTTTGGAAAGTAATAATTAACTTTAGGATGAAAATGGAATGCATTAATGCCGTTATATGTGATAATTATCAAACCAAGTTGAAGTGGCATCTGTAAATAAATGATGCATTGCCTTTCTGGATCTAATTCCAATTTTCTGAGCATGTAGGCTATGACTTAACGAATCTGTACCAAGATGTAGGCTATTTATTTAATACAATATATATTATAACTAATATATATAACTTATTTATTTATTTTCAGAATAATATTGTGAAAATATTCTATATCTTACAATAAATGCCACTTGATTAAGCACACTTTATTTCTGTTTACAATAAGGTTTCCTAGTCTGTGTTAAATCAAAACTACAATAACAATAGGCTACAATTAGACATGCAAGTGAGTGAGTGCTATCATGAATTGTCATTAACCTGTTATGCATTTATTTGGTGGATTTGGTAACTTTATCTTTAATTTCCCATCATCAGTCTAAAGATTTTAATGATTATCATTTAATATAATTTAATTTCATGAATTTCAAGCATGACTTGTCCAGCCAATGGGGATTTCTTTTTTGTTTCAACCAATTGCTGCATCTTCAGTGGATGTATATTAGAAGCAGGATGCATATCAATGGATGTATATTAAAAGCAGGAATGGATTACACTGCTGAAAAATGCACACATGGTGACTTGATTATGTAAAGTAATAAATGGGAATGGGAAGAGTGCTTTAAGAGTGCTTGAAGAGGATGCTGATCTTGTTTTATGACTTAATTAGCAAATTCTTTGAATAGAATGGTTAAATATTTGCCTTCGGTAAACAGGTGTTTTTCTTTTCCGACACTGGCCTTAGTACTATTTCCTGCAAAATATTATTATTTCTTTTTTTTTACTGTAATCGACTTACAAACGTGAATCTTTATCTTTAAAAAGTATCTTATCTAAAATGAACACTGATAAAAAAGGATATCATCTTTTAAAGAATTTGCCAGGTCAAACACAAAACCATTCAGTTCTATTTATCAGAGTTCAAGGACAGAGTGTACTTGCATAACAGAAATACAATAAATACTGACTTTTTCAACCCTAACTTGGTTTTTATCTTTTATTCTGCCATGAACACAGGCTCTGTAAAATCAATCTTTATGTGGACAGAGGTCCTGTTGGGTTTTTTTCTTCCCCAATGGAAACCTGGACACATTTTGTTCCAAGACTCTACAGTTCATACAACAGCTGAATTGGCTTGTTGAACACATGAACAACACTAGTCAAATGGAAAACAGCCCACTGCTTTTTTTCTGTAGACTCCTGCCACTACTGATCTTTAGATGCAATTTTTCTTTCACCTCTCCGGACATCAAAAAATCGATTTTTGATGAGGTTTTTAGTGTTTCGGCGTACATTTAACTTGTACTAAAAAGTTAAATTTGTTAAAAAAAAAATTAACAATTTTTTTTACAACATTTCCACATTGTTAGGCCTGTCACGATAAATTGTCATACAAATAATTGTGATCAATGATTGATTTCTGTTTTGAGATGTCACTTACAGTGTAAGCTTCTTTATTTATTTATTTTTTAATTGGAATCATATATAATATATAATAATAATAATACAAAATATAATTAAATAGGCCTAAATATTATAATATAATATTATCGTTATGTACTGTGTACAGTTTTTTTATATTCTTTGGCAAAATGTGATTGAAATTTAAACTGCACAATTATTGTGTTTATTAATTATTAGACCGATTAGACTGAATAACCACTATCATATGATTAATCAATAATCATGACAGGTCTATACATAATTATTTCATATGTAAACCGTTGTTTCATTGAATCTCATAAGTAATAGAAAATTAGTTACTTGATATAATATTTTTTTATTCTACCCTGTAAAAGGGAATGTGGTTCAAAATGTGTAAAATGATACAATATTAGCATAGTGTACGCAGTATCAAATATTCAAGATGTTCTTTTTGGCTTCATTGCTGTGATGCTGAATTCTAATTCTAGTCAAAAGAACCTGAGGGATGCAAACATGAAAAACATGAAACAGTACAGTGTGTATATGAATTGGGTGCAACTTTTTACAGGCTTTTCTTCTATATTTGCAGTTCTGTCTCCAGAACCAAATGCTCTTGTTGAAACTCTACGCAAGCTCCCTACTCTGCACGATGAGCAGTACGCACAGCACACCCGACTGTATGACTACTACAAGCCTCCGGAGAACACACTGGTGCTGCGGTAAGTTCCCACACAGATGCACACAAATGTGCCATCAAGTTAGAAATGTGGAGGTGTTGTCCTGTTTATAGATCCAGACACTAACTACATTCATCTATTTGTATACAAAATACAGGTTTGAATTGTTGGTTTCTTCTTTAATTTCAGTTTTAATGGAATAGTTCTCCCATAAATGAAAATTCTGTCATTATTTACTTGCCCTAAATCTAAAATTAAATCTTTTAAAAAAATAAAATAAAGAAATTAGTGAAATTGTCTTTTAATTGAAATGCAATTGTACAAGTTTGCTATGTTACGTATGAACAAGTTTGCTTGATTTGTGCAATATATTTGCTGGTTAGTCTTAGCGCAATGGTTATGGCTATACAATAATTTTTCATGCTATGAAAATGACAGATGATTGATGACTTGAGTGATTTGCATAAGCAAATCCACTTTGCTTGCACTTCCAAAGTATGAGGATCCGTGCTCGAATTTATGCAGTAACATCGACAAGATCTCTGTATGAAGTGCTGAGGAAGATCTAGAGTTGAAATTCAAATATGGTAATATACATTTTGTTTCTGACATGCTGTAAGCAGTCGACCAATCACAACAGACTGGGCTATCTGACCAATCGGAGCAGAGTAGACTCTTGGAAAGGAGGGGTTTAGAGAGACTGAATCCTTGATCGAGCTGTTTAGACACTAAGAAAAGAGGTTATATATATATATTATGAGAAAATTAACGTGCCTATTGACCTTGGAAGCATGTAAACCTTTTGTTGGAGACCTCCAAAAAATTTGGAACCTTTAAAATAGCATAATAGGGGCACTGCTAAACAAGGCCTGGGCTGCACCCTCCTTCATGTCTTTAGTAGATGTCATGTGGGTTGGGATTTTTGTTTTGTTGTGTAAATCCATCAAATCTATTGCTCTATTAGCTCATCTGTGCAACTAACAAGGGTGGCCCAATATAACATCATCATGAATATGTATGTGGTTTTAGAATATGCCGTCCGTTTTTAATTAAGACAGGCCGTGCTAATCTGCTCAGTCTCTGTTCTTTAATGTGTAAAGCCCCCCAGCCCTCCCCTCTTCATTACAATAACACCATGAGCCGCCCCAGAGCGATGAGCAAAGTCTGAAGTCTGCTGCTTCACAACATTTACTCATCCATTGACACACACATGCTTTTTATTTTAACTACAGGAAATCAGTCAGACTCTTGCTGTCAATAAATAATCTATATTTTTATTACATTTTTTTGTTGATCTAGCTAAACTAACCAATGTTTGCCTAATGGTCTTTGCTGGTTTAAATAAGAAGTTTTACTTTACTTTTAGAGCTTGTTGTCAATGTTTGGCTGCTTTTTTTTTTTTTTTTTAAGAATAAACTTTAAAATGTTGCTGTTTTTTAAACGTGTTCTCTCTTTTTTTCCACCCCAGACTGTCCAAACAGAATAAGAGGATTGTATATACAGTTTTAGAATACTCTCCCCTCCTCGACTCCTGTAATATGAGCACAGATGACTGGGCCACTATTGGAAAAGACATTGAGGTGCTTCCTTTATAACCATCTTTATGTTTGGCTTTTGCTTGGTTTTTCTTTTTTAAATCGCTGGCTTGCAAACATGACTGAAATGGTCACACTGTCTAGTACTATCAGTACTGAGTTTTTTCACAGTGTTTTCCCTCGTATTCACAGAAACACTATGAGCAATACGATGGTTTTGTCATCCTGCACGGCACAGACACCATGGCTTACACCGCCTCTGCCTTATCCTTCATGTGTGAGAATCTGGGAAAGCCTGTCATCCTCACTGGCTCACAGGTAACGTGTTTTAAATGGATCATTTACTCACCTTTGTGTTGCACAAATTGAGCGTTTTCACACCTGTCTCGTTTGGAAGTTTTTTTTTTTTTGGAACCTGGTATGTTTCTCCCTAAGTTCGGTGTGTTTAGGCACATATGAACATGGCAATCGCGCTCGGATCCGCGCCAAAACAATCGCTTCGAGATCGCCTGAACGAGGTGGTCTCTGCCCTATTGAAAACTAACTCTGGGCCGGTTCGGTTGAGGTGAGAAAGCAATCTGACCCAACAGACCAACGAACCAAGCAGTATCAGAATTCATTACGGGAAATGTGTTATATAGAAAGCAGTGTGAGGTAGCTTATTAGTTATCATATTTGAAAACCAAAGAGCGCTCTTCTCCTTGCATTGCTGTCCCAACAAAGCCTTTATTCCCACTCTAACTGCATTATACATATAAAATTGTAAATATATAATTTATCAGAACGGGAATAACGGCTACATATAAGTGTTTGCATGTGTCTCGACAGCTACAGATAAAACCACAATAAAGTCGCGAAGCGAACTTGTCAATCCATTTTGATTTTGATCCGCTTTGAGTGTGTTTGGGAAATGTCACACCCCTTACCATAACCGCGAGTTTCAACACACTACTAACGCAACTCAACCATGGCCCTTTATTTTGAGTATGCCTTGGGCGGGAATTATTCAAATGAGGGATATTGTGACGGGTTTGTTCTCGGAAGACAACTTGAGACTACAATCGAGGCGTTTCAGGGAGTTCAGAATCAGTGCTTACTGAAATAGAGAAAGGGAGGTTAGGTTACCCTAACCCTAACTTACAAACTGCTAAGTTACTCCAAAGGGACCCTTTGGAGTAACTTAGCAGTTTGTAAGTTAGGGTTAGGGTTAGGTAACCCTTTGTAACTTTGCAGACCTTTTTCATGCTCATACAGCAACTTTAGTTGAAAATGTAAAAAAGCATAATAGGACCCTTTTTAAAGTTACCTCCAGTTTAAACATTTAACTAGTGGTCATCAAAAAAAAGCATCACAACCATCTTATATGTTGCAGGTGCCGATCTATGAGATGAGGAATGACGGGCGGGACAACCTCTTGGGGGCGCTGTTGATAGCAGGACAGTTCGTCATCCCTGAGGTGAGTTTTGTAATCTCTGTGAGGGACTCTTTTGTAGCAATTACAAATGCGTTTTAAAGGAGGATGTTAAGACTGCAGTTTTAAAATAGTTGACAATTTCATTATCAATTAGTTTTAGCATTTTAAACTATTTAACATGTACAAATTTTATTTTAAATATGGATTTAAAAAATAATAATACAGGAAATTATATTTGATTAAATGTGGTTTTAAGTGTCCTTTGAAATGATTATGTTTTGCAGTACATTTTGTTTTTGCCATGCCAATGAAGCACATTAAAGGTTCTTTGTTATAAAGTTATTGTAATAAGAATAACATTAATGTAATAATTTTATAATAATTACTGTTATAAAAAATAATTAAAGGACCAGAAAAGGACCAGAAAAAAGCCCTTTGTGTCTTTCTTCACAGGTTTGCCTGTATTTTCATCATAAGCTGTACAGGGGGAATCGTGTCACCAAAGTGGACGCTGGAAGCTTTAACGCATTTACCTCACCAAACCTGCTGCCATTAGCCAATGCTGAAGTCGACATCAAAAGTGATTCCAGTTCTGCTAAAATTTATACACAGCCTTAATCCCATATATGTCTATTTAAAAATGGAAAATGCACACAAAATGTACTCATGTCCTTCCTGTATTACTTTTTTTTCTGCCATAGAAATTCAATATGTTTAAAAGGATAGTTCACCCAAAAATGAAAATTCTGTCATAATTTTCTTTCTTCTGCTGAACACAAAAGATATTTTGAAGAATGTTGGTATATACTTATATTGTAAAAGTGGTCCATGAGATTTCTGTTTATCACTGAAATGGCAGTTTCTTGCATAAAGCTGTTATATGATATCAGAAGATTTGGAATAGGTCATAAGTCATATAGGCTACTTTTACAATACTTTATGGTGCTTTTGAATCTTTTGAAGTGTGAAAGCCTAATTGCATGGTATGGAACAACACTGAAGTGAGCAAATGATGACACTTTAACTTAGTTTTAATATTAGTTTTAGTTTTTTGTATATCGAGGTAGACTAAATTTAAAATGAGAAATGTTGCCTTGCCATTTTTTATATATCTTTCATTTTTATTTTATTTTTTGTAACAAAACAGTTTTTTGTTTATGGTTTTAGTAATTTAAAAAGCATTTTTAATCATTTGCTGTTCACTTTAAAAAACCATAACAGGACATAGGAGGACAATATCAACTCCCTTATTAGTGATGCTGCAGTGTTATTTGTTTTATTCAGATGTATTATGCTTTATTTCTTACTCTTTAGTTAACTGGGACACTGTGTGGCGAGCAAATACAACCACCAAATTCACTGTAAGCACACAATTGAACCGTAATGTGGGTCTCCTGCGACTCTTCCCAGGAATCACTGCTGATACAGTAAGGCCGTGTGGTAATGTCTGCCTTTATTTGACACATATTTTTGCCAAATCTCTACATTCAATGCATGAACATGTTATTTTTTTTATTTAGTAAATAATGTCAGAAGTTCAATTTGTGGCTGAACCTTTGTAAGTTTCAAATGTTTAAATGAAATCCATTCTCTCACCAGGTCAGGGCCTTCTTGCAGCCTCCTATGGACGGAATCGTGTTGGAGACCTACGGCAGCGGGAACGCCCCTGATAACCGCGCTGACCTGCTGGATGAGATCCGTAAAGCGACCGAGAGAGGAGTCATCATGATCAACTGCACCCAGTGTCTCCGGGGATCGGTCACTACCTCATACGCCACTGGCCAGGTATGGGAGTTTGCTTGAGAAAGGCCTTATGTGTGTGTATTCCAGGAGTGTGTAATTTAATATTCCCTCTCAGGCTCTGAGTGATGCCGGTTTGATCGCTGGGTGTGATATGACCCCAGAAGCTGCTCTTTCAAAACTCTCCTATGTGCTGGCAAAACAAAACCTCAGTACAGAAGAGAAGAAGAAGGTATGGAAAAATGTCTCTAAAAAAATACATTTAAACCACATTTGGGTCAATAACATATACACTACCATTCTGAAGTTTGGGGTCAGTGATAAATCTTGTATCACTGTTTCCACGTAATATTAAGGAGCACAACTGTTTTCAACATTGATAATAATAATGCATGTTTCTTGAGCACCAAATCAGCATATTAGAATGATTTCTGAAGGATCATTTCACACTGAAGACTGGAGCCCAAAATCAGCTTAGCATCACAGAAATAAATTACATTTTCAAATATTTCACAATTGAAAACAGTCATTTTACAATTAACTTTTAAAAATATAATAATATTTCACAATGTTACCGTTTTAATGTATTTTTTTTTATCAAGTTGGTGAGCTTCTTTCATTCAAAGAGACTTCTTTCACTGAAAAAATCTTACCGAGCCCAATTTTTTGAACAGTAGTGTATTAGTGAAAATCTAATTTAAAATACAAATGCCATGTTCCTCGCCATATACTCCTTTAATGTTTGTTTCATATTATTTTTGACTTAAATACCATTTCAAGAAAAGTTTAAGACATTTCATGTGGTGTAACCATTTAGTAAATAGTATTAAAAATGAAAAAATAGATAAATGTTTTCAATATGTTTTTCAAAGCTAATAAGTTTATTTTTTAAATTATTATTTATTATTATTAATTTATATATTATATAAATTATTATTATTATTTAATGTCACACTACGTGACATTTTACAACCTATTTTTATTCCTTCCTTCCTTCCTTCCTTCCTTCCTTCCTTCCTTCCTTCCTTCCTTCCTTCCTTCCTTCCTTCCTTCCTTCCTTCCTTCCTTCCTTCCTTCCTTCCTTCCTTCCTTCCTTGTTAGTTTTACCACATGAATTTGATTTGAATTTGAGTTTTTCCAAATAATAATAAGCAGTAAAGTAGTCATATTGTAAATAATAATAATAAAATAATAATTATTACTTGTTTTAAATCACTTTAATTAAGCCTGTTATTTGTTCATAAGATGCTGAGTCGTAATCTGCGTGGAGAGATGATAGCTGACCTGGGCGGAGCAAAGCTTTCTCTCAGCGACAGTCGCTTTATTCAGGTCATCGCCAAGTCCCTCAGCATTAGCTGTAAAGAGGTAATGTAACCTGCACTTTCTCTCTTTCTAACTTTGTTTTGCTCTGGGGTGTGTGATTATTGACAACTACAACCAAAAATGTTTTTTTCCAATTTTTCTGGGGATTTTGCTTATAACAGTAATTAGATGATATTTAGCTGAGTGTTTCGGGTCGCCTTGTTTTCCGAATACTATGTGTTCGGACATACTACTCTGTTGGCTTACTGTTTTTCGTATACTATATGTAGTAGGGAAGTATTTGATTTCGTATGCAGCGACCTGTCTTTATAAATGGGTCATTGTGTCATTCACTCTATGCTATTTTCAAAAACACTGAAATTTGTAACGAAACTGCTGTGTTTCGTACATAGTGTGCATAAGGAGCTTTCGCACCGTTGGAAAGTTTTCCTAGTTATAACTTTTGGCGGAAGTACTGGCTTTTTGCCATCATCGTATCCGAGGAACTGGGAACTATTTTTGGTCGAACTAAATTAGGTCCTACTTCAGAGTAAGTTCTAACCCAGAACATAAGGAACTCCCAGTGACTTTAGTGTACAGTCCGTTGATTGGCTGAATATATGCCATACGAAACACCTTTTTTTTTTTTTTTAAACAAGCACTGTGTAAATGCAGTTTACAGTACATATACTTAGTCTGGACCAATATACAGAAAGCTAATGTTAATGTCATTTACCTGTTGCCTTTGTCTGCGGCGTTGTGTTCTTTTCTCAGCCTCTGATATATAACACTGCATGTTGTCCTAGGAGTTTTCATCTCTTAGCTCTCCTTTTTGCTCTTTCAATCGTACAATTTATACATCTGCATTCCATATCCGTTATCACAAAACACACAACACACAACAAAAGCATAGCTATGTTCACTGCATCCTCCAGTTATTGAATGGCGCTCTTAAATGACCTTAGCTGTCGGCTTAAATCACTTTAGAGTTCCTACTGGTGGTGTGGGAAATGTAACCAGGAAAATGGCCGTAGGGGAACATTTAGTTCTCGGATGGTTCATTCTGGTGGCTAGTTCTTATAACTGAGTTCCTATAACTACTGGGTGCGAAAGCCCCTGTATAGTGTACACCCCTACTTGGAAGTGATTTCACTGTATTTTAGTATAAACTATGATGATTACAAAACATACAATCATATAAAGATGAACAATTGTGATCAACTCTAATATTACTGATGTCCACAGGAGCTGGAAGCCATACGAGATGCACTAACTCCCACTCTGGTCTGCGTTGCTGCTAAGATCGGAGACATTGAAGCTTTAGAGGCCATAAGGGAAATGGTAAAATATTGATACATGTTTGGACACCCATTTAGAAAGGCAAACACTACCTGTAAAAAGTGGAATCGTCCAACTCAACGTTGTACAGTTTGTGCTAATGTATGCCTGTAAACTTTTTGTATTTTAATATTTTTTTTATTATAATAAAAAAACTATGTATGCATGCAAACAAGGCAGTATTAAATGCAGTCTAGCAAAATAAGATGCGGGTAATGACTCATATGTTTCTATATAGGGCTCTGACTTGAGCATGCCAGACTATGATGGGCGCACTCCTCTCCACATCGCTGCATGTGAGGGGCATCTGAAAGTGGTGGAGTATCTGCTGAGTAAAGGGGCGACAGTCTATGCCAGAGATCGCTTTGGCGATACGCCACTTCGCAATGCTGTTCGCTTCAGGTACGTAGGACTGACTTAAGTGTCCAAATATTTTTGCCGCAACAAAAAGTAATTGCCATAATTTCAAAGGTTTGACTTAACTATTTGCTGCGTAATTTATACAGTCTTTAAGGCGAACTAGACCACTGGTTTTAAACTGGTGGTTGCGACCTGTAAATGAGTTCTGATGCAACTCGCCATCAGTGTTGGGCAGTAACGCGTTACTGTAGCGCAGTTACTTTTGACAGTAACTAATACTGTAACGCATTACTTTTTAAATAAATTAACTCCGTTACCGTTACCATATGGCGCGTTGTCTGTTACTTTTTTAAATTAATTAGTTGCTGGAGCGGCTGAGTAGTGTGCGCTGTCATTAAACAGTACGAGAGCACTGAAGAGACTGCTAGCATTATACAGAGCGAGTCGAGAGGACACCTGAGGACACATAACAAACTCACTGGCTGAGTTGTTTACGTACACGTGAGGCAGCGCGAGCACGGAGATTACAAGCTGCACGGAGAGCGCTGAGCACTTGATGCGCATTTAAAACACAGACAGCGAAACGGTATGAATACAGAACACTTAAGTACACATTGCCATATCATTATAAATTAATTAATTTTTTGACTAGATGCTGCATCAGCAGAGAAAGAACAGAAGCTTGCCGTCGAGTCTGAGAGGAATAACATTAGTAACGGCTAACTTACCTCAAGCGATTAAAGCAATGTGACAAAAACACACGCAGACCTGACCCACATGTTTTATGTCGCAATTGTTACCATCTATTTGCATTAGTTTATATTCAGCTGGTCACTTACTTTTATGCATTCATTAGCCGGCGAAGTTGTATTTTTAAAACTAGTGACGTGATTGATTGCTTACATTGATATGTTCATGCAGCCGACATCAAGTCTAATCAAGTGTTCTAAAATTTAAGCAAATAAAGTGAAAGACTGTACATGTAATATAGGTCTACATTTATGTAATTTTAATGCTCTGGCCTTTGCAGATATTTAAATATGGCCATCTTCTTTAAGCTTGAATCATATAAATGGTAACACTTTACAATAAGATTACAATTTTAGCATTAAATATGGTTAATAAATGTTGTAGAAGTATCATTCATTGTTAGATGTATTTGTATCTCCTTAGTTAATGTAGGAGATACTGCCTACTATGAACTAACAAGAATGATCAAGGTACAATTGTATTGCTCAAATATTAATTCATGCAGTAAAAACCACAGTGGTAAAAACGTATACTGTCAGCTGCATGAACATATCAATGTTGAGAAAGCAAACAAGTCACTAGCTTTAAAAATGCTTGTTTTGTTATTTATTTCAGAAATCCTTGATATATTCAGTTTGTGCTGGTCTGACTTAAATAAAATAGTGTTTAAAAAATACTTTCTGTTTAAGTCAGTTTTGTGTTTGTATAGACCATAACGCATAAAAGGGCATTAATGGGAACATTTAAGAACTTTCTTTAAAAAAGTAACTAAAAAGTTACTTTTAACAGTAACGCATTACTTTTTGGTGTAAGTAATCAACAAAGTAATTGAGTTACTTTTTGAATGAAGTAACTAGTAACTGTAACTAGTTACTATTTCTTAGTAACTAGCACAGCACTGCTCGCCATATAATCATTCATAGTTGGCATAGCATTTATTCACCCTCATTCCAAAACAATGGTTGTGTCCAAATTCAGAGGCTACATCCTTCGAATCCTTCAAATTTCAAAGGCCACGCCAGCGGTGAAGCAACGAAAGTCACCAGCACGCAATGAATCTTGGGATAGGCTAGGCTGCGAAGGATTCTATCTTGTGTGGCCCAGGGAAAGATGGACGCATTTGTAGGCTGCATTAAAATGAGTATTCGAATACTGCCTTTGAAATATTCAGCCTCTGGTTTGGGACAATGACCTTCTTTCTTATGTAAAACACAAAAGGGAACTTGTAAGGGGAAGTCAATTAAACACATGTGACTGTAAATGTCTTTTCTTTTGTCTGTAGGCATAAGGATGTTGTGAAGTTGCTGAGGAAGACTGGAGCTCATTTTTCCCGGGATGAAATGGTTGATGCTGGAACGGAGTTGTGCAGGTCTCATTTACATACACACATTTCTTCTCCATCCATCCTTCTCTTATTGCTTTTATAAACTTGTGGACATAGCAATTTAATAAATGACACAAGTGTCAGTTTTGTTTTTATTATTAGTAGTAGCAGCAGTAGTACTTTTTTTATATTTTTTATTTTATTATTTTAGTACTGATTTATTTCAATTACAATTCTTCCGTTAAGTTGTATAGTTAAGCTTAGGGTGGATTTTTAAATGGCACATTAATATAGTTCAAGTTCAATGAATGTGCAGTCACAAATATGAGCATCTGTTTTTTATTTATGTAGAACTAATATACAGATCAGTGTATTGAGCACATACCAGAACTGTTTGTCTTCAGTTTATGAACTTCCTGTGTTAAGGTTGATGATTGCCCATTTATCTATTCTAATGTGTGTTTTACAGTCTTGCGGCGAGTGACGACTTGGAAGGATTGGAGACTTGGCAATTAGCTGGGGCTGATCTGACCATGACCAGTTATGATGGACAGACACCCATTGAAGTGGTGAGTTAATGATGGATATCTGTGTGGAATACACAATTATAACCAAACAATTGATGCCTTCAGTGACATTTTATTCTTATGACTGTATAAGTGGAGATACAATATATTTTTTGTTGCCTTGGCTAAAAAATGACTTCTGCATTGTCAAAGCAATGACAAATATGGTAATATATTTTAAAGATGCTTCCTGTAAATCAGGGGGTGTCCAAAGTCAGCCCTGGAGGGCCACTGTCCTGCAGAGTTTAGCTCCAACTTGCCTCAACACACCTGCCTGGAAGTTTCTAGAATACCTAGTGAGACCTTAGCTGTGTTTTACCCTCATTCACTATTCCCTATATTACTCCACTAATATAGCCTACTTGAAGGAGTGAATGAAAACGAGTGAGAGAATTCAGACACTGCCCAGCTAGCAAAAATTGTGCGGGCCGAGAGCGGCCCGATTAAGGCTAAAACACTCGGCCGATCCTCGGCATGAATCTAGGTCCGATTGCTCTGCGAGCACTCGGTTTTAACGCGGTCCGATTAAGGCTTAAACACTCGGCCGAGCGCTCGGTTTTAATGCGGCCCGATTGCGGAACCCCGAGTGAGAGGACGTAACGCTCCCCTCCAATCCCGTTCCTTGTTTTGGCTTATTTAAACTATTGATTTTTCATTCATGTCAGGTTAATACTAAAATAGCTGAGCAGCCATTATTTATGCAAGATAAACTTAAATAAAACAGCACAAGGAAGACAGGTTTCATGTTTAATGCATTTTTTTATTGGACCACACTTCTCTCCCCTCTGATGAATGAAGGACACTACTTAAATTAACAAAGTCAGCTCATCACACACACGTCTGGTTCGCTATCTTTGTGGGGACTCTCCATAGGCATAATGATTTTTAAACTGTACAAAATGTATATTCTGTCCCCTTACACTAACCCTACCCCTAAACCAACCCATCACAGGAGACATTCTGCATTTTTACATTTTCAAAAAACATTACTAGTATGATTTAAAAGCTGTTTTGCTCATGGGGACCACTGGCTGCTCCCCACAATGTAGGTGATCTCAGGTTTTACTATACTTGTGGGGACATTTGGTCCCCATGCAATATAAACAAGGGCACACACACATTAATAACAGATATTGAAATATCACAGCATTAATGTAAAATCAAGGAGTTCAAAATACTAATTTCCAGTATCAAATTTGTAACTTTAAAACATTTAATCCCACTGCGTTTTTGAGGTCTATGTTGTCTGCCTGTTCGCCCTCTGGCTTCGGCCACCATCCCTATCAGAGGCTGCAGCCACCTGGTGATGAGGAGCTCTATTTCCTTTTCTGTAGAGTCTTTGGTCAGGGCATTCCGGCGGACTGCATCTGAGAAAAACACAAGATAGAAGAGGGCAGCATGACCATGTGATGTTACTCTGCAACCACCAAAACTTAATTTGGATGCAAGGCTCTCCTCTACACTTACATTTCTTTTCAATTTAAAAAGTTTAGGAGCACAGTCAAACATTTAGGAGCACCTGATGTGACCTGATCTGAAAAATGACAAATTAACCTTCCCATTATAAGGTGATTTATATTTGACGGGTTCGTACAGACTCTGTCATTATGAAATTCCAGGACTTTCAAGGACGTAAAGCACTACTTTTTTGGATTTCACGGACTTCAATCAGCACTTATCAAACAATATCTTATTTTTATTTATTTTATTTTTTTACTCAAATTACATATGGTATCTGATGTTTTACTTCATAGAGATCAATCCATTGACCAGCACTGTCAGGCATGGGAAATTAGCCTGGCTGCGCCCTCCTACGCACTTCCGCTCAATTTCATTTTCCTTCAGTACTACGTCTGGGACTGCTGTATATTCTTAGGTTTCCAGAAATCAATTTTTTGTAGGACCAATCAGCGAACAGAGGGAGTGGCTGAGAACGATGATGGTTGACAAATGAAACTTTTGAGGAAAAATACAATACGGAGATGTTACATACAGCACAATTTTTAAGAAACAAACATCAAAATTCAAGACCTTTTAAAGTCTTTTTAAGGTATTATTTCCAAATTAATAAATTGAATGCTTTTAAGGCTTTTTAAGGCCCCGCGAGAACCCTGTTAGTTATTTAAGGAATATAGCATGAGTGAGAGTGGGGACTGACTTTTAGGAATGATCTGATTAATGTATAAATTAACTCACCAGATTTGTCCTCTCCTCTGGATTCTTTAATGTCTCCTCCAAACATTGTAGCTCCTCAATAGTTGAAAGTGGCGGGAGCCCAAAAAGTTGTTGGGTCTGGCGTGAAGTCTGGAACTGCTTGACTGCTGGAGATTTTTTGGAAATGCACCAGGATGAGCAACTGCTGCTCTGATAGAATCAAGCTGAATGAGGATCTCCTTGGCAATTGCTGTAAGACAAGAAAAAGCAGGCATAGCAGATTAGTAGCAAAACATTATATGTAGATATGTCAGAGTAAACCGAGAAAGATCACTTGGTAGAATTCCTACCTGTAGGCACAGCCTCTCGAGAAGACCTGTTCTGTGTGTCATGTAGCCTACTTGTGGGGTGTTCTAAAATAAAAAAGCCACAAATATGTTACAAGACATGTAAATTTACATTACAGTAAGATATTGCACGTTGTGCATTGGAAGCACTTATTTTAACAGATGTCTGTTTTGTATAGCTAACTCTGTAAAACAGAAAGCAAACTTTTATATATATATATATATATATATATATATATATACTATTCATTTTTACAGAAGTTGTAACGTTAGCATATTCCTTTTGTAAAGCTACAGAACATGTTTGATTCATCAATGTTTTGTAAGTTTGAGCCATGTGTTTATTAAGGTCTGAAATAAAACTGAAATAAATATTCCCAGCACTTTCTGTGATGTAACGTTAGTATGCTTGCTTAGCATAGGAAGTAATAAGAAATTACTCTTTACATTAAGGGAGATTAAGTGAGAACAGGGTGTTTGGGGAATCACTTTTTTTCATCGCATTCAATTGCATAAATATTCCACATATTCCGTCGCATTTTTTAAGAAAACGTGCCGCATAATTAAGGATTTTTGCCCGCAACAAATCACAAAAAAAACTCTGCATTTTTCTGGAAGGACAGGTTAAATGTTACTATAGTGCATACGTTACTTCAGTTTGCACCATAAAACTACAACTATAGGCCAATTCACACCGCACAGACAAACGCCAGCAAACATGTTATGAAAAATAAGCCAACAGCCACCGACAAATTCGAGCACCCACGGAAAAACACGAGATATTGCCCATTCATTTTAACCAATACAAGTAAAAGATTGCAGCTTTCAGACACGACTTTCTTCTCGATATTGTTAAATGTCGAAAGTGCATCTGTTACAGGCCCCGCGCAAAAGGCCATTAAATGCATTTCACGACCACGTCATGTCACAGCGTTCACAAAATGGCGGACGGTCTGCACATATTCAATATCTTCACAACCCAGAACATTAATACACAAAATATTTGCAGCATGAACATACATCGGAATTACAGGACTCGTCTGCATATTAAGTTATCATACCTGTAAAAACAGGAGCAAACGTGTCAGAGTAATCATACTGCGAGGGCGCCGGCGCAATACTGCTCCTCTGAGTCCTCAGTTCATTTTCATAATAAGAGTCCCGATCTCACTCAACAACAGACAATGACCCAGCTTTCAGCATGACTTATACCAAAGTCTCACATCATTCCTCTATTACAATTTACATAAGTAAAATAAACATTTTCTTACAGGATCAAAATGTGTATACTTTTTGACAATGTTTGTTGCCAGTCTGTGCGGTGGGCCTTAATCCAGCTAAAATTTTGTTCCACTTTATTTTCTTCCACAGATCAAAGACTGTGCTCGTAAATATTATTCACGTAAATTGCATTCAATAAAAATGGCGTCTAATGTACTAATTCTGGCTGCAAAGAAGAGCTAACAGCCCAGCTAACGTTAGTCAATGTTAGCTTCGTTCGCGCCATAAAAATCAGAGCCACTTTCATATTAACCTAACTTGCACTACTTAGACATGATAAACAATTATTGTCCTAATTAATAATTCTTAACTGAATTCTGAATTCTTTCTTTTCGTTTCATCTGGAGGGAAGCATGTCAAAGGACCACGAACAAAGTTTAAACGGATCGATAATAATCAACATTTAATCAGCAACAGTTCGAAATGTAGAGTTAATATAAGAAGTTAAGGGAACTCGATTGAACCTATGCTCGGCGTGAAATGTTGATGCTTGAAATTGAACACAAGACTTACCTCAAGTTCACCGTAATGGCGCAGAATCGAGAAGGGATGATTCAAGTAAGGCGTGGAGTTTTATTTCACCCAAAGTTGTGCACACGTCACTCCAGTGATGAGCTGAGCATGCGTGCTGGCGCTTGCTGCAGTAACTAACCGTTGAAATCGGCTTCATACTGGTAAACGGGTCTGAGCCGACCGAGCGCCCAGAGTTTACAGCCGTCGACCGCTGTCAATGGTGGTAAATATTTGAAATAGGCAATAAAATGAAGTGACTTTGCCTAATTGCGGTTGCCACTACTCAGCCAATGCCGCGACTGCGATCACCATGACTGCTGTGCGAGTGATGTCACCTAGCGCGCATGCATGTTTAAAATACATAAAGTAAAGAATGATCTTCATGACAACTAAATATTTTTGCTATGGTTATAAATATTAAAGAATGCTCTGTGTAAAACGACACTATTATTATTATTATTACTGCAAAAAATATTAATATTTTGTTTTGGACAACATCAGACACGGTCAGGAATTTACGTCAATTTTAAAATAATTTTTATGTTAATTATTGCTTTATTAAAACCATCATTGATTTAATCTGAGTCATTTCCAGAAGTGGTCCAGATCATACAGGCAGAGCCGGGTTACCAGCAAGGGGGTAATCCATCGACCGGAAGTTGAAGCCGGCCGGGTGCCGCCATGTTGTAGCAGAACTTCACTTGCGTTAGCATTTCCATTGACTCCCAGTCATTTTGGCGTCACTTTGACAGCGAATAACTTTACATCTGAGGCGTTTAAAGACTCCATTTGTCCATTATTTATTTCTAAAGAAACACGACAATGTATAAAGGGCTCCATTACCTTCTATGTTACATTATGGCCCCGTAGAAACAGATTTAGTAAAAATAGGCTAACGATTGCGTCATAACCACTCGACTCTCTGTCGCGCTGTACAGAAATTACCGTACAGACAGGAGGAGAAGCTCGCAGGCAATCGGGGGGACGTCCCGTCAAGGGAGAAGCCCATAGATAATGAGTCCATAAAAGCAACGGAATACTTACTCCTGCTCACTCACGCCAAATAACTCTTTGCTCAAGTTCCCCGTCTCTGCAAGATTAACATTGGCAATTTTCACGCACAGCTACTAGAAGATTAACGTCTGTCAGACAGGTTGCCCACGTCATCAAGCTTAGTTTGAGTCGGTCTGAGTCTGCGCGTCAGGAACGGAAGTTCTCAAAAATCGCTAAAAGTGGGCTTCAACTGTCTCAACTGAGTTCCAATGAGATCGCTCTGTCCATTTCTTTTACTGTCTATGGTTACCAGTTATGGTGAACATGAATCGGCCCAGTGCTTTACAGCCGTAACAAAAATGCATGTGCCAGAGCGAGCTGCGGGCCACACTCGGCCCGGTTAACACACGCCGATGCCGAGTCTGAGCCGCAGGCGCCGCAGGAATTCATTCGGCATGACCCTCACAGTGTGGATTTCTCTGGCCGTTGAGAGTGCATCAGTTGTACACTCGTTATTGTGGTGCATTATGGTATTGAATAGTCAGGGTTCTCAAGTCTCACGCATTGGCCGTGAGACACACGCAATTCAACCAGTTCACACGCTCACACGCCACACCGTGTATATCTCACGCTGAAAAGGCAATGCCAACCAAGTTGTCCTGCAAGCTTTATATATAACGTTGTATACGAGGCGCATGCACTGCACACAAAGATAAGTTTCCTGCCGCCAGCGCGTCCGCATCTCGGCCAGATTGCGTTCGTTACTAGGCAACTTATAGACGCGCGAAGTCCGCGAACACACACGGAAGTACGGCCACCGCGACATCGCGCGAACACACGTCGTGATGGAGAAAGTAAGTTGGAAGAAAGCTCGCCTAACATTTTTAGACTAGAACATTTAATATATAGCCCATCGTATACATTATTGATGCAGTCAAAAACTCTACAACTGCTTTGCAACCAGGCCAAAAGCTTTGACTCAGTTTGGCTAAGGAAATGTTATTGGGTATGGGAAGGAATGAAGATGTATTTCTTCAGTTTATTTTAAATTCTATATTATACTGTATTAATAGTATTTCTAGTTACATTAAGGCTAAAGCAGAGTGCTCTTGGTAATATTGTATATCCTGTCAAAACATACATTAGCCTAATCATTGCCATTGCATTTGTATTTTTCAAAGATGTCAGGGAAAAATGCAAAACTATTTGTTTTTCCAAACATTTTGGAGCTATTTGTAGCCTAATTTTGAAATATAACATTAAAGAGTAGGCCTATATTTGATGTGATGAATTGCTCTGTCATTTATCAGATTTACCAATTGTTATAATTTCAATTTTTGCTGGTTAATTATGAACAATGGGTAAAATTGGGGGCGGGGCTAGGCGGGGGCGGGGCTCCATTTAGGCCCCTCCCCTAACCGCATGTGATCTCACTCCAAGCTTTTGATAAAACTTGAGAACCCTTATTGAATGAGTGCACTCAGTAATGTCCACTATGGGTTTAGACACCACTACAAATGGCTGTCCCCTCAAATACTGCCCTATGTAAGGTTATAGTGGGCGATTTCGAACACAGCCCTATGATTAGCTGATTAGCTGGTTCAGGTGTGTTTGATTGGGGTTGGAGCTAAACTTTGCAGGATAGACACCCCTGCTGTAAACCTTTATTAATGGGCTTCTCTCACATGTAGGCAAGAGCCACTGGATGTGAGGAGGCTATTGACTTCTTACAACAGTACCTGTTGGCTCAGTACCAAACTCAGGTAGGGAACAAAAACTAATATATACAGTAGTCAACATTTGAATCAATGTTGGATTTGGGTTGGATCAAAACCAAAATCACTTTCATCAAAGTTACATGAATTTTGAACATCACCCGTTCTTGTCTTAAGACAACTTTGATGAACTTTTTTGATCCACTTCAAATGTTGACTACTGTATTAATATTATTAACATAAAAAACTGCAACATTTCATGTAAAATGTCATGTGGTGCAACTCCTCAAACTCCTTTTTTTTATTATTTGTTTTACATATATTACATAAAATATTTTACAATCTTAACATTACATACAAATACTTAACCTTTTTTAAAGAAAACCTTTTAAAAACCTGAAATAATGATATAGAAGTATACACTTACAGCGATAAGAATATGTTATTACCTTATACTTAATGGTTTCACCACATGCCATATTTTAGAGTCATTCAATTGAAACTTTAACAAAATGTTTCAAAACCATATGAAACCTAAATTTGAACTTTTTGCCTTGTTTTATTTTGAATGATTGTGTGGTATTTTTAGAAGTGCATTTATTCCATTAAAAAGCTGCATACATATTAATAAATGTGCTTTTTGACATTTTAATTTATTTATATAGCATGTACATTACTAAAGCAAGTTATGCATGTCAACTCCCCAAAATTATTTTGTTAACTGAAATATATAGTATATGCATACCTTTCCACAGATTAAGGAGATGAAGTTAAATATTAACAGGTATTTTTTTCATAAAACATCTTTTTACTGATGCTCTTCTTCACTTTCTAGCATCAGACGGATGAGGGTAATGAGGTAAAAACAGTTTAAGTCATTTTACTCATTAGAGTAAAATGAAAACGCATTTTTGCTCATTTCATGTGATAGACACCTAAGGGAATGTGCTCATGAAATGTTCAGTCTTTGTGACATGTTTATTGTGTAATTTGAAGTTACCAAAAATCAACAGCTTTCAAAAAATCCCTCGTCTTTTTCTTGCAGCCAGTATTTGAGGGGGATGAGGAGGAGGTAAATTGTGTTGAGCTGTATATTATTCAGTACACTTAATGTTTATCTGTTCAGGTGCAGTCATATTTTATGCTGTTTGACCATTTTATATCATAAATTGTGAATGGTTGTGAATTAGCTGCCATAATGACAGATTGAAATTTCACAGATAGATACATTGGTGTTGACAAAACAGAAGATAGTGCTGAAAACGACATGAATGTTTCTTAAAAAACTGGTTAAACGCATTAAAATGTGCATCCAGATCATTCCATATAATAATAATAATAATAATAAACTTTGTGACTGCAATCTACATTTTGCATATTGAACATTGCATAACTGAAGTGCAGAACTCATGTAATGCTTACACTATTCTCTTTCTGTCTGTTCTCTAGAATGGCGAGTTTACTGCTTGTCCATGATCTTGTGGAGGCCGTCCTGCTACCTGTCACTTTCTGCCCTTATCAGCCATCCAGTTGCTTATTTTTAGCAGACTAACAGTAGATTTTCCTCACTTAGACAATTATAATCTTAAAGGGGTCATATGATGCTATTTTAAAAGTTAATTATTTTGATTATTGGGTGTAATAGAATAGGTTAGCATGCTTTAACGTTCAAAAAAACACATTATTTTTCACATTATTGCAGCTCCATTATTCCCAGTCTGTCTGAAAAGCGCTCATTTCTTCAAAACATTGTGTATAGGCGGCGTTGTACTCTCCCAGGTTCAGGAAGCTGTCCTCTGTAAAATGTGCTATACACAAGCAAACTTTTGGGTTGGACTGATTAAACTCTGAAAGCAAAAGCAGTTTTGCTCACGCATCCAAACACACGGCATCTCTGCGACATGACGATAACACTTCAATTCACCGAAGCCTCATCTTCTAACTTTGCGCTTTGTAACTTTGCAGATCATATACATGCACAAACAGATACATTACACACTAAAGGAAAACGTTAAAAAGAATCATATGACCTCTTTAAAACATAAAGAGCACAAGCCATAATGTTTTAGATCCGTCCCTCTAAAACAGTGAGCAATCAGATATGAATGTATGTGATGTTGACAGTAAAACAATCATACATACTATTTATGTACAAGCACATTATTCAGACTACATTACAGTACAGGGTACTGTAACTCCTGATGTCCAACAATATGTAATCATTTGAATATATATATTTATTGTTTAGATTTCGAATGAATTTCGATATTTGAGGCTGTCATTATGGCTGTTATGTCTTCATCCAGTGTTCTTCATGTGTTCACACATATCATATTCACTATCACCTCAGTGCTGTCACCTTTATTTGAATGTATTTTTAATAGCAAATACAGTCATAATTGCAGTGAAGAGTAAGGATGATTTTACAAACTGTATTTACAGAGAAGCAAACCAAACAAATTGTCTGATGTTTAAGAAATGTTAAAACTAAAATAACCGATTGCCCTGTGAGTGACACTGAAAACAATGTTTGTGAACCAAAATGTAGTGGACCGTCCGGTTCTTTAGTTTTGTTCTTCAGTAAATCTGTGTTTTGTATTCATTAGAGGCATTGTTGAATTTTAGTTCACCTCACTGAAAGTGTTAAACCTCAATCAAATTGTTTTATTGATCCATTTTTAAATTGTTGTTGCAATAAAAATACAAAAGCATATGGTTATGCTATTTAAAACATGCAAATTAACATGCCTGCCTGTACTTTTCTTGTTCTTTTTGTTGTCATTATGAAACGGCAATTAAAAATGTTTTGTTGCTAAATTGTGAAATGAAATTCTCATGTGCAAAGAGAAAATGACAACAGTGTCCAACATAACTTTTCTATTCTGGTTTGGATGGGTTGAAGAGCTTGCAGCTTTGTCTGGATAGAAGTAATGTCTCAAACTAAGAATCATTATCGAAAATCTCCTTTATTGAGCAGTGTAGTGTTACAAGTTTAGATCTTAGATTAATTCAAACGAACAAGTTAAACAGATGCTAAGTAGCCATTTCGTATTGCCTCTCTGAAATTGCCTACCCTACCTTTAAAAGTTTTCCATATGGCCTAGAAAGTTTCCCAATATATACAAATATATAAAATTCTATAGAAATATATAGAAAATTCACTTTTGAATAACAATTAAATACACATAAATCACTAGTGAAACTTGGCCTTATTTACAAAATCGTTGGTCCCATGAACGACCGCTATATATAGGCTATCTGCCATTTATATACTGTAATCCGTTTAAACTCACTCATATATTACTTTGTGCTGCTTTTATCACACATTTTTCTGACTGACTTCTGTTGTAAAATTCTCATAACACCATGAACAGAATTGTTTTAGTTGTTCGTGTGTTAGCAGCAGGACAACTGTTTTCAATACTGATAATAATATAAGTGCTAATAATAATAATAATAATAATAATAATGTTTCTTGAGGACCAAATCAGCATATTCGAATGATTTCTGAAGGATCAAGTGACACTGAAGACTGGTGTAATGATGCTGAAAATTCAGCTTTGCCATCACAGGAATACATTTTTTAAAATAGAAAACATACAAGTAATATATAATATACAAGTATATTATATTAAAAATAAAAGCAGTGATTTTTACTGTATATTATATAATTGATACAATGAAAACAAATGATGGTGCAGTAAGCGACGTTGTTGAAAGTGGATCGTACTGAGCGCCACAACACACTTTTAGCCAATCAGCAGCAGGGGTCGTGTCCACTCATAATGGGGGAGGGGAGAGAGTGAGCAAGAGGGAGATTTGATTTTTTTTTGAAGAAAGACTGTCGAAAGAGAGATGGCTGAGAGACATTACAAAAGAGAAAGGTAAGAGGAATATATCACTGGGAAAAAAAGGGTAATGATCAGGCAAGAGCTTTAGGACTCGCGTTACTATTAGAAAAGCTTTCCAGCGCTGGAGAGACCAAGCAGGAAGGCCTGAAAACGGACGTCGAGGTTGTGTTATTTCTGCTCCATAGGTGAGTAACATTTGTTTTGACATGGTAACATGGTTTTGCGGGGTTTCACAGAACCAAGACATGCTTTTGTTGTAATGTTAGCTACAGTTTGGAGTCTCGTTGTTTGTCTGGAGCTTCTGTGCTGCTGGCGAATAACCAACTCTTGCTTGTTTACTCTTGTGTAGTTGCTGAATTCATTTGTTGTTCCTTGTCACTTGTCAGTGGACAAGTATTTTACCCAAGGGATTCACCCACAAATTAAAAATCTGTCATTAATTAACTTACTCATGTTGTTCCAAAGTCCAAACCCATAAGACTTTCGTTCATCTTCGGAACACAAATGAAGATATTTTTGATGATATCTGAGAGATGTCTGGCCTCTGTTGACCGCTAACGTTACACAACTAGCCTACCACTTTGAGCTTCAAAAAGTTCGCAAAGAGATCGTAAAACTAATCCAGTTGAATCGAGCGGTAATCCAAAATGTTTTGAAGAAACAGAATGAATTTAGGATTTTATTAACATAACAGCATTCATCAACTATCAGTTGTGGTAACGTTAAACGGTTGTTTATTTGCTTGACTTGCTAGAACCTATGAGGTTCATTCTCTGGTTACGCAGCACGTTTGAGCTTCTGCAAGAGGTTTGTTCTTGTCAAGCAGGTTCATTTGAGCTTCTGTTTAAATGTTCACTGATCAATGTTTATGTGAATAAAAGCCTAAATGAAATCTGTTCATCATATAAAGTGATCGAGTCTCTTCAGAAAATTTGGACTAAACCGCTCAATTCATATGAATTAGTTTTACGATCTCTTTAGTGTCAAAGTGGTAGTTGCGTAGCTGTCTATGGAGGGACAGAAATATTGCTCAAATTTCATAAAAAATATCTTCATCTGTGTTCATCTATGGGTGAATTATCCATTAAACACTGTTAGGCACCTGAGGGGGATTTTGTAGACAAGTTGAGCAACACTTTCCATCAAACATCATTCAGACTCAGGAGATTGTCCTCCAGGAACAGAATAGATGTGACTTTTTTTTTATAGGCCTACCTACATTAATTATTAGATTGAAGAAGTCAATTTGTTGTAAAAATGTTAGGCTAATTTATTATGCGTTACCTAATGCTAACAAATTGTTAATTGTTACTACTTTATAGGCTATTATTAAAGTTATAAAAAATAAAGTTTGGGGGAGTTTCCGCATTAGATGACTGACTAAAGTGATCAAATGACTAATAATCAAAGATGATTTATTTTGTGAATGACATGTCAGACAACACGCTGTCTCATAGCCATAGCAACATTGTTTGGTAAATGAGACACTGACATTTAAGCACACTGTATGTTTTTCTTATGGCACACTTTCATTTAAATGATCACAAACATATGTTCGGGCTACTCTGAGGGAGGCTGCTTTGAACAGTTGGGGCTTTTGCGTGTGTGTGTGTGTGTGTGTGTTGGGCTGTTTTCGCCCCTGCTGTTCTATTGATCCACTGAACAAGGCCTGGGCTGCACCCTCCTCCATGCCTTTATTCACTGGGAGGGATTTCTATTTAAAAATGGAGAGATTAAAGAAATCTTTTCAACAAGCCACATGACACTATTAGCTCATCTGTGCACCTTACAAGGGTGGCCCAATGTAACGGCACTTTGGGGGCCACATGAATATGTATGCGCTTTTAGGATAAGCCGTCTGTTTTCAATTCGAACATGGAGGTTGTGCAAATCTGGCCACTAAATGGGGAATATCCCCCAGCGCTCCCCAATAACCCCCCACTGACACGATGCACATCCAGAAAAATCAGATTTTTGCATCTTTACAACATTTGCTCATCTTTTCTCTCGCTCTCTAAAGACAGTAATCGTCGTGTCTGCACTTTGCCTTTCTCTTGAGGGGACGTCCCGCTGCTCAGGCAGACGAGCCCCTGAAATGGATTAAACCCTCACCCCTTACCTTTTTTGTGTGTGAATCTGAAGTTCATCCATTTCTCATTGTCTATACAAGCATGTCCATTTGAAAAGAATTGAGTTTTTTTGTTTGTTTGTTTTAATTGGTTTAACTTGTGTTGCTTGACTTTAAGGAAATATCAAATGTGTGTTTACTGCAAATGGCTCTCATTTTGACATTTTCTTTCTTTTGCTCACCTCAGACGATCTAAACTGGACCAGAAGGTTGTACATTTTTCAGAGTACTGCTTGACTCCAGCAACATTATCCCAAATGACTGGTCAACTATTGGAGAATACATTGAGGTTCACTTTTTTGTTTACTGTAAAGCTACGTCTTAGTTTTGCTTATCTTGGCGAAAGCCGACTACAAATCAGCATGAAGTTTTAACATCTACTCTCGTGTAATGGAAATCATGAAGATCTGGATACATCCAGTGACTGCGGTGAATAGTGCTGCTGGCAACCAGGAAAAGACCTTGTGACAGCCTGGAGAGACAGCTGACAGGAGGAAAGAGACCCCAATGGGGCTGGTAAGGGTTAGCTACCCTTGTCGGCAGTATCCAGCTCCGTGTTTACAGGAT